CCCCCAGGGATTGCGAGGTCTAATTCCGGTCCGCGTATGGCGTCACCCCGCTGGACACCCCAACAGCTTTCGAAAGAGGCAACGGTTTCGCAACTCGCAGCCCCCCAAGGATGGCGAGGTCTAACTAAGGTCCGCGTATAACGTCACTCCGCTGGACCCCCCCAGCAATCCTCGAAAGTGGCGACGGTTTCGCAGATCGCAGCCCCCCAGGGATGGCGAGGTCTAATTCAGTCGGCATGAGATCGGCATGAGAAGTACACAATAGTACTATAACAATGAAGACACAATTTTGCCAGATCGGCCCGTCTACGGCCAATGAGAGACAGACAAGACACACACACACACTTACACATGCACGTGCGCATGAGCTCTCGCGATGGCCCTGTTGGCATCGCGCCAATGTAGCGCCTGAGCGAAGAAGGCGCGAGGGAGGAGGGAGGAGGGAGGAGGGAGGAGGGAGGAGAAGGAGCGAGGGAGGAGAAGGAGCGAGGGAGGAGGGAGGAGGGAGGAGGAGAAGGAGCGAGGGAGGAGAAGGAGCGAGGGAGGAGGGAGGAGGGAGGAGGAGAAGGAGCGAGGGAGCGAGGGAGGAGGGAGGAGGGAGGAGGAGGAGAAGGAGCGAGGGAGGAGGGAGGAGGGAGGGAGGAGGAGGAGAAGGAGCGAGGGAGGAGGAGAAGGAGCGATGGAGTGTGCCGAGGCCTCCCAGAGCGGAAGCTGGCGTCAGCCCAAGGCATCCGTGCATCAGCGGCCGCGGGCACGGGTGGAGCTGGGGCGGCCCCTGCCCATCGCTGGTCCTTCGCGGCGCCGGGCATCCTGCGACCCAGGGCGGCCGCTGTCTTGGCCCATCGCACGCAGCGAATGCATGCATGCTGCATGTGGAAGGAGGAAATATCTACAAGGATCAAGGAAGAGAGTTGAGGAGGAGGAGGAGGAGGAGGAAGAGGAGGAGGAAGAGGTGGAGGAGGAGGAGGAATAGGAGGAGGAGGAAGAAAAAGAAAAAAACGACGAAGAAGAAAATGACGAATGATAATACAAAGAATAATAATCCGCCGGCCCCCTTGTGGGGCCAGCAGGCTGTAGGCCGAAGGTTCGCAGTCTCCTGCGCCAGTTGCAGCTCCCAGCTTCCACTGCTACAGTTCTGCTTCCTGCTGCTTGCTGTTCCTTGTTGACTTTTTGCTGCTTACTGTTCCTTGTTGATGGACCGCGCGAGGGGGGGAGGCCCAAAACGGGCATTTTTAGTACGCCCTGGGCGTGTTGTCTGAATTGCTGGGGTCGGTAAAAATTTACACCCCTCACGCAGATCGGCGGGGTCAGGGTCCAAAAACACATAGGATTTGCAACATTTTTAAAATTCGCTGCACCCCTCACGCAGATCGGCAGGGTCAGGGTCGAAAAACATATGGGATTTGCCACATTTCTAAAATCGGCGGCACCCCTCACGCAGATCGGCGGGGTCAGGGTCCAAAAACACCAGGGATTTGCCACATGTTTGAAATTCGGCAGCACCCCTCACGCAGATCGGTCGATGGTTTTTACTTGGACCAAGGGGCTACAGATTAGCATGTACAGTCAACACGCCTCCAAGATGCAGGCGAGCGCATCGCCTCGCATCTTCTCACCTGTACTGCGGCTCGAGCCTCCCTCTGAAGGCTCAAGCTCAAGCCGAAGCGGGCGTCCCCGCCGAGGCTCCCGCGCGCCCGCGCCCGACGCGCGCCCTTGGCTCAAAGGAGCGGCCTACGTGCCGCGCCCTCACCCATCTTGGGTGGCCCTCAAAGGGTCTTGCATCCCGGCTCGAACCTACCCCGTGCTGCTGAGAAGCGCGCCTAGGTGCGAGCCTAGACTCGCATCCGAGCGAAACGCTCGGATAGGCACCCTGCCTGGAACCAGCCGCGCGGCCCACGCCGCTGCAGCCAGCCCCTCACTGCTGGCCATGTGCTGGCCGTCGTCCCTCGTCAGGCGAACGATGAGGTCCGCCTTCAAGCCGCTCACCGGCAGCTTCCGCCACCTGAGCTCCTCCTTGAGCTCTGCCACGGTGGCCTCAGCCAGCATCTTCCCGAAGTACTCCGAACCGAGGTTTCGCCCTTCGGCGACCCGCTCAGGCGCAGCTATCGCCGCTGCCCGAGAAACGACATGCCCCTCAGGCGCGTCCTTCGACGCCGCCTCGGGCTTCGCCGTGCCGTCGGCCTGCGGGGCAGCCCTCGCCGCTCCCGCTGGTGGGGCAGCACTCGCCGCCCTAGATGAGAAGAGCTGCACCGCCCCTCTCGTGCACTCAACTGCGCCCTTGACCGCGAGCACCAGCGCGATGATGAACACGATCATGGCGAGAACGATCGAGCCGATGTTCGACTCGACCTCGTCGTCAGCGGCCGCGGAGCACTGCTTGTCTCCATGCTCGGCCGCCTCCGTGAAAGTGACGCCCACGCCCGCGGCGAGCCCCTTGGTCAGAAGCCGCAGGTTGGACATCTCCAGCAACTTGAGCACCCGCTTGCCGTCCAGATGCTTGGTCCCCAAGTCGCTCCTGTTGCTCTCCGTGTCGACTCGCCCGAGCTGTAACTCGCCGAGCCTGACTCGTTCCTGCACCCACAGGTCTCGTATCTGTAGATGCCGTACTTTGCCACTGCCGATCCGCGTCGCGATCGCCCTGCCTGCATTCGAGTCGCTGTGAACCTTCGACGCGACCTCGATGCCGCACTGCTGGTAGAACTGCCGCATCATGATCGCACTCGCCGCGCCTCGGCCGATGGCATAGAACTCGGCCTCTCCGCTGCTGAGCGCGACGACGGGCTGCGACGCCACCTGGGTCTCCAGAAGGTGGCTGCCGAAGAAGCCGTACACGGAGCTGGTCGATTTCCTCGTGATCTCATCCTCTGCCCAGTCCGAGTCCGTCTCGTAGAGAACCGCCTTGGGCATCTCCTGCTTCTCGTAGAACCACCCGAGCTCGCGCCGACCGTGGAGATATCGCACACACCGCCTCAGCCTAAGCATGCTGATGACCGTGGGCTTCCCCATGTCCGTGAGGATCACCTTCACCGCGAACTGGATGTCCGGCCTGTCTACCGCCACGTAGTTGACGAGCCCCGCGACCTGCTGGTAGAGCTTCGCCTCGTCGTGTGGAAGTGGATCCAGCGCCTCCCGGACGCTCTTGCCCGTGGCCTTGCTCCCAGGCGTGTCCGCCGGCTTGCACTCCGTAAGGCCCAGCAGCTCCACGCACCTCGTCACGTGCTTCGTGTCGCCGATCCAGACGAACCCCTTGCCCGTCCACCTGATCTTGCGCTTGAGGTATGGGAGCTCGCGAACGCCATCCGGCCCGACACGACCGATGCACTTGACGTCCATGCTCGCCATCAGCTGCTGGTCCAGGACATCCAGGGACTCCTCCTCGCCCTCGGTCAGGATGTCGTCACCGTGGATCGCCGAGGTCATGTCCAAGAGAGGCTCGTGGTACACGCCCGCCGCCACCGCGATGCGCGTCCAGTTGTTCTTCTTGAACACCCCGGCCACGTACTCCTGCCAAGCCTGTGCCGCCTTGCGCGTGCCGTACATGGCCTTCCGGAGCTGCCACACGTACCCGTCTCTCCTAAGTCCTGGAGGCGGGATGACGACGATCCACTCGTCGAGGTCGGCGTGGAAGAACGCCACGTGCACGTCATGCACCGAGAGATGCCTCCGACCCTTCTTCGTCGCCGCCAAGGAGACGATCGCCCTGACGATGGCGATCGGCGGCGTGCCCGCGTTGCAGTCCTCTCGGCCGTACGTGTTGATCTCCATGGCGACGCCTCGGGACCGGACGAAGGAGGTGCCGTCCTTGGTGCGCAGGTCCTCGACCCACTTGAAACGCACCACCTTGCCCCGGCTCTCAGCCACGCGGACCTCCTCGAAGACGCCGTGTCGCCGCATCTCCTCGATCTCGGCCTCGCGCCCGCGCCTGACCAGGTCCCTGGGGAGCTCCTTCCCGCTCCTCGCGTCGTACACGTGCTTCTCCGTGTCTGGCAGGACCGTGATCGCCGCCGGCTCGACGGGGCTGACCTCGAACATCCCGATCTCCAGCGGCTCGCAGCTCTCGATTTCCGTGACCGTCTCGAGCTCCTCGTGGGACTGCTGGTCCAGGCCCTCGTACGTGCAGGGATTGATCTCCACGAAGGCCCCGACCGCGAGCGACCCGACTGTGATCGCCGCTGTCTGGCGCGGCCTCTTCGCCGACGCCTCGCCCTGGTCATCGCGAGGTGCCATGCTGGCGTCCCCGGACGATCCTGGCCTGCCGTCTCCAGCTCCAGCCGCTGGCCCCGGCGCGGCTCCCGCCGCCGCCGGCGTCGGCGCAGCCCCCGCCGCTGCCGACGAGGGCGCGGCCTCCGCCGCTGCCCTGGCCATCTCCTCCTTGCGCAGCTCGTTCTCGATCCTCTTCCGGCACTCCTCGCTGTGCGATCCCATGCCTGTGACGCACCTCGGGCACATGGGGGTCCAGCCGTACTTGTCGATCAACGCCCTCGTGATGTACGTCGACCTCAGCCCTGCGCCTCCTGGCCCCGCGGGCGGCGCCGGCCCGACCATCGCTGGTGGCACCAGCGCCTCCGGGCCCGCAGCCGGTAAGGCCACCGGCGGTGGCGGAGGTGGCGGCATCAGCCGCTGCTGGTTCGGCTCCACCTGGGGCGCTCCCGCCGGCACGATGCCGATCTGTGGAGCCCGGTGCATGTCCCACGGCACCCCAGCGAACTTGTCCAGCTCCTCCAGCACGAACCGCTCGCCCTCCGGTCGCCGTCTCACCGTGCGCACCCTCGTCGTGCGCGTTGGACCCGCCACCAGGTGCTCGTCCGAAACCTCTGTCTTGCCCAGCCACACCGCCGCGTGCCACCGAGGCTGCAGCTTGGAGGTCGGCGTGGGGTCCCTCGCCCAAACGCACTCCGCGAAGTTGACGAGCTCGCCCCGATATGGCCTCCCCTTGAGCACCTCGTAGGTCGTCTTGCCGTTGCCGTGCACCGTGAAGCGGTTGAGCTGCCAGCCAGCGTGCCGAATGAGCCAAGGTAGAAGCCCATGCTCGGCTGGGAGCTCCCGCTTGTAGTTGTCGCCCACCGAGAACAGCAGCGCCCTGATCTGCTTGCCGAGCTCCTCGTTGGCGCGCTCCACTCCACCGACTCCCTGATGGTTAGCCCGCTGAGCTGTCTCGACCATCGTGGGCGCCTTCCGCTGAGCCTTGATCTCCCTCGCCAGGGCCGTGATCGACGCCTCCTGGTCGTGCTTCAGCACGATGCGATCCAGCCCCCAGTTCTCGATGGTGGCGACCGCTGTCTTGACCATGTAGGCGTCGGTACCCTTCGGCCCCATGATGCCATGGATAGCTTGGGAGTTCATGTGCACCATGTTGAGGATGCTCAGCTGGCCCAGGAAGTAATAGTCGATCTGGACCTCGTCGCCCGTGCGCTCGTGCCCGGCCTTGTAGTGCGGGTCGTCCGTGAACTTGGATCTGACGCACACCCAGCACCAGGACCTCGCCGGAATGTGCACCAGCTCGTGCGTCCTCTGCTCGGCCAGGCTTGGCTTCACCGGATCCTTCTTGACTCGAACCGGCACGGACTCCTCGAGCACTGCCTGCGCTGCCGGCTCGCTCGCCTCAGCCTGAGCGTGAGTCGCGGCAGCTCCTCCGCCGCCGCCGCCCTGGAGCGCGGCTCTCGCCGCTGCCCTGGACGCAGCTGATGCGCCGCCGGCCTCGCCTCCTGGCTCCTCGCCCCGCACCGGCATGACGAGCGAGTTCTTGACGCCTTCACCGTACTTGTCCATCTTGAGGTAGAACAAGTCGTTGCGCCTGACCAGCGGCACGGCGTCCGGGTCCGAGAACTCGATCGGCTTCGGGATCATGTAGCTCCCGCTCGGCGTGAACACCCACGACGTGCCCTTGTCGACCGCCTGCGACACGCCCAGCACCGGCCTCTTGACGTCGGCGACCTTGTAGTCTACCCCGATCTTGTGCCCGTCCTTCGTGTACGTGACGAAGCGCTCGCCGTGGCACGGGATGTCGTCGCCGCTCGCTCCGACCAGCCGGATGCGCTCGCTCAGGTCTCTGAGTGTCTCGTGGGCCCCGTGACTCGGCGGACACACCGATCGCGCAGCACCCGAATCCACCATGACCCAGTGCTCATTGATACCGATGATCTCCTTGCTCCCGAACGTCTCGTGCTCGTTTGCTGCCCCTGGCTGGCTCAGCTGCTCGATCGGGTTGGCACCGACCGAGAATGGCTGCCTCGGCTGCTCGTGCTCGTTTGACGGCTCGCTCGAACGAAGGTGGATCGCTGTCGTCGCTGGTGCTAAGGGCGTCGCTGCTGCTCCAGTCGATGATGACTCCTGCCCTTCCTCCAGCTCGATCGCGAGGCACCAAAGTGGCTCTGCCCCGCTTTCGGTCGCGATCGCCATCACCGGCGCCGCGCTCCCCGCGGCGCTCGCCGCTGGAGGAGCTCCCGTCGGCTTCGACTCCTGCTCGACCGCATTGGTGCCTTTCTTCTTCTTCTGCTCTGCGAGGAACTTCCTGCACTCGTTCTTGACGTGGCCGGTCTTGTGGCAGTGGAAGCACCGTTTCTCGGCCCTGTCCTTGGCCGCCTGGCTCCTCTGGTCCGTGGAGTTGTCGCCGCCCTTGCCCTTCCTGCCTTTGCCTTCCTTGCCCTTCTTTCCTTTGCCCTTGTCGCGCTCGCGCCTCGCCTTCTCCACGGCGCTCGTGTCCATCGGGACTGGTGGCGGCACTGCTGAGATGGCGCTCCTCGTCGAGATCACCATGTGCACCTCGTTGCGCATGAGCTCCCACGTGGTCAGCCTCGACGCGTTGTGGACCAGGTGTGCTCGAAGAGCTTCGTCCTGAATTCCCCGTTGTAGGATCGCCATCTTGATCCTGTCCCCGATCCTCTCGTGGCTCTGACTCTCGTACTTCGTGACCTTGAAGTCGAAGTCCGCCAGCGTCCCCACGATGTTGTCCTCTGGGAACTGGAACGCGATCAGCTCCTGCAGCAGTCCTGCGTGGCGACCGGGTCTGTCGGGCTCGTACATGTCTTGTAGTGTCCTCCACGCCCGATACCCTTCTCCGACGCCGACTGGCTTGATCAGCTGGAGTGCAGCTCCTTCCAGCAGCAGGACGAGGATGAAGTACAACTGACGACTGCGCTGGCTCGCTCCTTCCTCCAGAAGCCTCGCGTTCCTCACTTCCTCCAGCGGGAACGTCATAGCCGCCGTCAGCTCGTTGGCCATCATCTCGTCGAGGGCCCCGAGATACGCGAGCATCTTGAAGCTCCACCCTGGCCACTCGTCCTCGCTGCCTCCGAACGCCTTCGGCTTCGCCAGAAGCCGAGTGTCCACTAGATCCTGTGGCGCAGCCCTCGCCGCTGCCACGGGCCTGCTCGCCGCGGCGCCTGCGCTCGCTGCTGCTGACTCCGCCGCCAGGGCGCGCTCCTCTGCAGCCTGCACCCGTTGTTCGGCAGCCTGCAACGCTCCCTCTAGCGCCTGGAAGCGTCGCTCGATCTCTTCCATACTTCCTGCCGAGCTTCTCGTCGAACTTACGGCTCCTCAGGATGTCTGCCTTGTTCGACCTCGAGCCACGCTTCCTCTTCTTCTTCGGCGGCGTGCTGGGCTAGGAAGGGCCGGCTGGCGCGGCCCACGCCGCTGCCAGCCGCCAGGAGGGCGCAGCCCTCGCCGCTGCCCTATTGCTGGCGCGCGCGCGCGCCGCGGGTGGCTGGAAGGGAAGCGGCGGCGGGAACGAACCCACGCCGCTCCGCTACCATGTCGATGGTTTTTACTTGGACCAAGGGGCTACAGATTAGCATGTACAGTCAACAAGATCGGCAGGGTCAGGGTCCAAAATCACATGGGACGTGCCAAATTTATGAAATTCGGCGGCACCCCTCACGCAGATCTGTAGGGTCAGGGTCCAAAAACACACATGATTTGCCGCATTTTTGAATTTCGGCGGCACCCCTCACGCAGATCGACAGGGTCAGGGTCGAAAAACATATGGGATTTGCCACATTTCTAAAATCGGCGGCGCCCCGCACGCAGATCGGCAGGGTCAGGGTCCAAAAACATAAGGGATTTGGAACATTTCTGAAATTCGGCGGCACCCCTCACTCAGATCCGTAGGGTCAGGGTCCAAAAACGCAAGGGATTCGCCACATTTCTGAAATTCGGCGGCACCCCTCACACAGATCGTCAGGGTCAGGGTCAAAAAACAAACAGGTCCCGCTGCTTCACGGCGGCGCCCAGACCTCATGATTTGGCTGTTGCATCTCCCATTATCCGAGGGGGCCGGCGGCATGGGGCGAAGCCCTTACGGATATACATATACACATTACATGCATACAAGCATACATCCACGCACACATACATACACATTTACATGTAAATGCATACATACATACATACATACATACATACATACATACATACATACATACATACATACATACATACAATACATACATAATACAATACATATCATGTCATAACATTACATACATAACATACCATAACATAACATAACATTGCATTCCATTCCATTCCACTGCATGACATTCCATACATACATACACACATACACACATACACGCATACATCCATACACACATTTACATACATACATACATGTATACATACATACACACATACATACATACATACATACATACATACATACATACATACATACGTGCGTGCGTGCATACATACATACATACATACATACATACATACATACACACACAGACAGACAGGCAGACGGGCAGACAGACAGACAGACAGACGTGCGTGCGTGCGTACGTACGTTCATGCATACATGCATGCTTGCATACATAGACACATGGGTATCTGTGTTAATCTACACCTCCATATAAACCTAGTCGACCATCCTTTGGGGGAGCAGAAAGTTTTGGGGGGTGGGGGGCATGGGCACTGCCGCAGATGTCGGTTTGCGATCTGCATCCGATTGCAATACATCAACCTCTCGTTCTCGCTACCTACCGATATCGGCATGCCACCTGGGGGTGTTACGCCCACTAAGGAGGGATTGCATTTACCCCACGCAAAAATAATCAAGTGTGCGGCTCATCGTCGTCGCTCTGCTGCAACACTCGTCCAACAACTACAAGCACATATGATCAATCTGACGATCTCAACAGAAATACACATCGTCTCACGACATATCAACTGACCTACTCATAGTTGATTTCAGGTTTGTATACGTACACTGGTGTCAGAATCTATAGAGCGGTCTCAGCATCTATCAGTCCCACGGTAAATCGATCTCAACTTTCCAATGTATGGATCCCACCAGCTGTCTACCGATGTATTCGTCGATCGGTCTCACCATCCTTGAGGCAAAATTACCATCAATCTGTCGAACGACGCCACTATCATTGTACCTGTTTCAGCCTCAGAACCAAAGTAGACATCGAATTTAATAGCAAATAATCGATCAACCGATCTGTCGGTCACACGACCTATCACCCTTGCAGAATCACTACCTGTCTCATTGTTCGACCGATCAGTATCACTATCACTATGTCGACAAGCTTCCTGTCCATCTCATCATCTATTGATCATCCGAAGTATCTATCAGCCGTGGGATAAACAAAGTAAAAAACAAATCGTGGGACAATCGGGGCAACCGCAAGACAACCGCCTGGACACCACACGGCTGGCAGAGCCTTTACCCGCACATTGTCATCCTCGCGCAGCTTCGCCCCACCCGCGTACACGACATGAATCGAAGCCGAAACCGCCTTCCCGATTGGGATCGCTTCGTTCTAAAACACCCCAACTTTGATACACATGTTATACACCATGTATATGCATGTGTGCATATACATGTGCACACGTGCATACACACATGCGTGTGTCGTTTGTGTGCGCGCGTATTCGTGTACAGACAGAGGGATAGAGAGAGGGAAGGATAGCATATAGACAGACACACGCCCAATTATGTACATGTGTATATAAAGAGAAAGCACAAACCACACGAAACCACATAAACACTACATATGGCATACGCTCCACTGTGCCACAGAGTACGAATACAAACGCAGATACGTTATAGCGACACCCTCATACATATATATATATATATATAAGGAGACAGGCAGACAGGGAGAGGGAGGCACAGAGAGAGAGAGAGAGAAAGAGAGAAAGAGATATACACGCGTATGTGTATATTGATAAAAATGAGAAGAAATAGACAGACAGAGAGGTGTATATATATACATTTATACATAGAGAGAGAGGGGGGGAACAACAACAGTTTGAAAGAGAGAGAGGAGCGGGGGGAAGCGAGGGGCGATACAGGCAAGAGACACGGGGAGGAAAGGCCGCCATCGCCTCTGCCATGGGCTCGGCTCCCGAACCCCGTTCGAGCCCACCCCACGGGGCCACAGGGCCTTCGCCTCCCCGCTCACAGATCTGAGCTCCCCATCCTCCCTCCCCTCTCAACCCTTCCCTTCCCCCCACTCCCCCTCCCCCTCCCCCTCCTCCTCCTCCTCCTCCTCCTTTTCCTCCTTTTCCTCCTCTTCCTCCCTCCCTCCTTCTGCATCTCCTTCTATCCATCCCTCCTGCCGCCTCCCCCACTATTCCTGCCTCCTCCCTTCTTCCACACCCTCCCCCCACACATCTCTGCTTCAATTTTTTCAGTGCGTGGGTGCGTGGGCCCGAGGTCTGGACCAGTTCCCCGGGCCTGGCTTTTCGTCCTGGATCGTTTTCTGATGGCCCCGCGGCCCGGCGAGGGCCCCTGGAGGCCGAAAACGGCCAGAAACCAGACGTTCCAGTTTTTTCGGAGCGTCGGATCTCTGGGTCCCTTCTTTCCCCGTGCTCACCTCCCCCGTCACTCCTCCCCCGTTCTCTTCTCCCGCCCTCTCTCCTGACTGATCCCATCAGCGAGCGCTGAGGGCCACCCTCTCCCCCCTCCACCTCGTCGAACTCTTCCTCCTCCTCCTCCTCCTCCTCTTCCTCCTCCTCCTCTTGCTCCTCCTCCTCCTCCTCCTCCTCGTACTCACGCCTTTTACGTGCACGCACCAATGCTCGACACATACTCCGCATACGCAGAATTACACATACATGACCGCGCGAACGAACGACATGCATATTTGTATCGGAGGTGAGGGGGTGAAATCGAAGTGGAACGGAGAGCCCCCCTATCGGGAAATCGGATTCGGTTTCGTGTTCCTGCGTGCCGTGCGTGCGGGCGAGGCGAAGCTGCGTGGGCGGGCGAGAAGAAAGTCGCCTCCGGCTGAGGCGCGGCCGGACCAAATGATTCCTCTCCGGGGGCCCGTGGCGCGCGGTGTCCCGCCGGTGTCCTGCCTCCGGCTGAGGCGCGGCCGGACCAAATGATTCCTCTCTGGGGGCCGGTGCTGCGCGGTGTTCCGCCGGTGCCCCGCCGGTGTCCCGATGATGATCATGATGATGATGATGATGGTGATGATGATGATTATGATGATGATGATGATGATGATGATGACGATGATGATGATGATGACGATGTTGATGATGAAGATGATGATGATGATGAGATGATTTCGATTATGTAAATGATGATGATGATGATGATGATGATGAGGATGAAGATGATAATGATGATGATGGCGATGATGGTGGTGATGATAGTGTCCCAATGATGATGATGATCATGTTGACGATGTTGATGATGATGATGGTGGTGATGGTGATGGTGTCCCGATGATGATGATGTTGATGATGATGTTGCTGATGAGGATGATGATGGTGTCCCGATGATGATGATGATAATGATGATGATGATGCTGATGATCCTGATGATGTGCATGATGACGAGATGATGATCAAATGATGGTGATAATGATAAAGATGATGATGGTGTGCAAATGATGATGATGTTGATGATGATGACGATGATGGTGTCCCGATGATAATGATGATGATGTTGATGATGACGGTGATGATGAGGTGATGATGATGATTCTGATGATGGTGGTCCGATGATGGTGGTGATGATGATGCTGATGTTGATGATGATGTCCCGATGATGATGATGATGGTGACGATGATGATGGTGTCCCGATGATCATGATGATGATGGTGGTGGTGTCCCGATGATGATGATGTTGATGATGTTGTTCATGGTGATGATGATGAGATGATGATGATGATGGTGTTCCGATGAAGATGATGATGCTGTCCCGATGATGATGATGGTTGCGATGATGTTGTCCCCATGATGATGATGATGGTGATGATGATGTTGATCATGATGAGGTAATAATGATGATGGTGTCCCGATGATGATGATGATGTTGATGACGTTGATGACGTTGATGTTGATGATGATGATGACGTTGATTGTGAGGTCGATTGTGATATCGCTAGTGAGATCGATAGTGAGACCGAATGTGAGATCGATTGTGAGATCGACAGTGAGATCGATAGTGGGATCGATTGTGAGATCGATAGTCAGATCGATTGTGAGATCGGTTGTGGTCGTATAGGTATAGGTGTATATATATATATATATACCT